CATTCATGGCATTGGCCCCCCGCTTTTTCGCATGCCCTGGACTTGTTTCTACGACGATTTCCTGGCAGTGGTGCCCGATCCGCTCACCTACGCTGCCACACACCTGATTCAATCCCTTTTCACCGGTTGTCCAGTCAGTGGCAAGCCTTCCAAGGACCCGCCTTTTGCAGCCGTGTTTCAACACGATCCTGTTCAGGAGTCTTCAAGGTGGCAAACACTGAGGCCAGAGTCCGAATCCAGCCGTGTGTTGGGCAATCTGGGGGACGCCCTGTCCAAGATCACGCTGAAGAGCGGTGTGGGCACCATCATGGAGACCGGCTCTGACGAGGGGCACTTCATGGCCTTGAGGTGCTTGTCGTTTGCTGTTTTTGGATTGCGTCTGTCAAAACAGTGGTGACAAGCTCAGCGGGATGAAACTTGCCTGCTTTTCCAGGCAGAAAACGGAATCGAGAGCAGAGTAAGCGTTTGGAGCCTGTTTGCGACCGAAACCGAGCGAATCTAGACGCTGAGGCGCCCCACTTGCCGTCTGACACGAAAAAACGAACTTTTCGGAGTTGGCTGTTTTGAGCACTTTTTTGCACCAAAAACGGAGCGGCGACAAAGACCGGTGACATCGGAAAAACGGAGAATTTGGCTGTTTGGCATGGTTTTTCAAAAAAACCAAAATAATTAGGTTACTATAAGCCTATGTTCCTTACTACTCTCAACGTCGTCGGGTCGACCTATGATCTGCGGAGGGGGCTGTGGCTGCGGCCCTGGGCGGGGCGTCGCGTTCACGCGCACGTTACTTGCGCTCACCGGGCTGGAGGCGAAAAGATCCGTCTCGGAGATGATCCGTCTCGGGTTTCGGACCAGGGTAGACTTCTTATTCTCAAGGCGCTCGCCGGGCTGGAGGCGAAAAGATCCATCATGATCCGTCTCAGAGACGACCCGTCTCGGACCTTGGAAGAAAGTTATTCTCAGGAGAGCTGGAGGCGAAAAGATCCGTCTCGGAGATGATCCGTCTCGGGCCGAGGGAAGAAGAATTTTGTAAGGAGAGGAGCTCGCCAGAAAAAAAACAGGAATGATCCGTCTTAAGCCAAATAATCCGCGCCCGCGCCAGGGAATCGAGCCCGCATCCAAGCTTCAGACAAGCGCAGAGACTCCCGTGCCAGAGAGCGTCACCAGCTGGTAGGCTATCAGGTGGATGAACACGTCCGTCATCGTACCGTCAAGTGCCTTAAAAGTGAACAGGTTGCGGGTGCTGACGCCACTAAGGGCATCTTGGACGCGCTCAGTCGGGAAGCCCGCGATGAGCTGTGGCGCAGGTAGCCCGCACGGTCGATGTCGATGTTGCGCACCGTGTCGTCGAGGTCCCGCAACGTAAGGACCGAGAGGAAGTGGAAGTGCTCCGAGGCTCCCTTTATGGGCTTGTGTGGGTACTGCAGGCTGCCCAGCTGCATCTGCGACTCCAGGAGGCTGTCTTACCTGGCCGATGGGTGCCACGTCCTGCCCCGGTTGGCCAGCATGGATCTTCGAGCCCGCGTCGTTGTTTCAGAAGGGAAGGCGCGCGCGACTTTTGGCCCGGCGTGTCACCAAGAGCTGGAAGGGCAGCCGAATGGCCAGCAGGTCCCGGAGCTGGTCCACCAGCAGCCGCAGGGCATCAATGGTGAAGACCTGCTGCCCTGGAAGAGGGCGCAGCCGCAGCTTGTCCAAGCAGCCCTGCGCGGGCGCAGTTCTGTCACAGCGGCCTCGGCGCTAGGCGCACGCGGCTCCTCCAGAGGCACCGCCCGGACCGAGCTAAGCCACAGGCGGCCCCAGATGCGTTCATCATGGCGTGAATTGGTGAGCCACTTTCGATATAAATAAAGAGACGTGCCTCTCCGGGCTGGACTGCAAGTCCGACGCCAAGGAGGTGAGCTACCTGCTCCTCGTGGACTACGACTTTTCCCCGAAATTGCGCAGAAGAAGCGGACGGCTTGGAAACGGTGGATGACGAGATGCAGGTCATGGAGTTTGATCAGGAGGAGATCCAGAAGATGGATGAGAAAGCGGAGGGGAAATCGCGAAGCTGAAGGCGATGCCTTGACGGAGCTGCAGCCACATGAACGTGGAAAAAGAGAGGAGGAGAGTGGCGCGCCAGTTCCGGTGGAGATGTGGAGGGTTCATTTGCCAAGGACGCATTCCTGATGGTGCCCCAGCCAGAAGAAGAAAGGGCCTCGGTGACATACAAAGGAAAGAGGTACAAGTTGGTTCGATGTCTGCCTGGACAGCGGACAGCAGCCAACAGATGGTACATATGCAGCGCGAGAGTTTGGCATGGAGGATGATGTGATGCAGCCAACTCTGATGAAGTTCGAGAGGGGCCTCTACATCAGCCTACACGTGGACGACCTTGTCACTGAGGAGAAGAGAAAGGAATTCATGGAGTTTCTGGGCGATAGATGAGGGCCATTTGACATTGGCGAGAGTTTCGAGTACCTCAAGAGGAAGATCGACAGGACCTATGAGGGCTTCGTGATCCGGCCAGATCCCAAACACATCGAGGGCATCGCAAAGAAGGCCGACATCAAGATAGGCAACTGCAAGAAGACACCCGCGAGGAGCCACCTTGGAAAAGAGCCGGCAGTGCAGAGCTTTTCGGAGTTCAGGTCGATCGTGGGGAAGATGCTCTACATTGGAGGTGAGCGGCCTGACTGTCAGTTTGCCATAAATGCTCTTGCTGCGGTCAAAGCCTACGAAGACGGCGTGGAGGCATGCAGAGCGCTTGGCAAGCTACTTGGTCGGCACGGAGTTCTATGGACTGCTCATCAAGAGCAGCAGGTGTGGGAAGTCCATGTTGGACATGAGAGAGACGCAGGAGATCGAGGTGAAGAAAGTTCACGTCATGGAGGTTGTCACTGACAGCGACTACGCGGGGGACCAGAACTCGAGAAAGAGCATCACGAGCAGAAAAGCATCTCACTTTCAAGCGGTGAGAGCGAGTACGTGGCCATGGTCTCTGGATGCAGTGAAGGACTTTTTCTTCGGCGTGTTTGGTCCTTCATCAGAGGCCACACACCAACCCTGGCAGCGCGGCCCGGAATCGTTGCCTTGCCGGAGATGATGATCTCCTTCTGAATCTTCTTGATGAAGAAACTCCACAGCCACTGCACCAGGCTCAAGGCTCCTATGCCGGCCAAAATGGCTAACACCGGCCACATCCAGCTGTCGCTCTCCGCTCCGTTGGGCTCGTTCTCCTCCTTGGTTCCACTCGCCCTGATCACGTTGGCGAATGCCACCACCAATGCCATGCGGTACTCATCCTTCAAGCCGCTGAGAATCTTCTTAGCGCCCTTATCGCTCAGCATCTTGCGCTCGATGTCGCGGAACTCGTCCTTCCCGAGCTTGCGGTCGTCGTCGTCGACCATGAACATCAATCCTCTCATCCTGGCTCGTGCCAGCGCCTTGGTGCCGATGTCCGCGCTGTTGATACTCGTCGGAATCGCTGTCACCCTGATCACGGTCTCGTGGCATTTCTGCTGCAGCCACATCATGACTGCATCCAGGTGTCGGGCTCTGCCAATCCCAACGACAGCGAGCCGGAGGTGAGTGCACGTAGCGATCTGAGGAAGAGGATCAATCCGGTCCGGATGTTGCCACCAGGCAACGTGTATCACACACACGAGAAATGTTTCCACTACAAGAGTGGGAGACAGGTGCACAAGTGTCTCAGCGGATATGAAGGCAGCATGTGAGGATTGTTCTTGTGTTCAGTCATATCCGCATGCAAAGCATGATGAAAGCATGATGAACATGCACCGCAATCGGAGGCTCTAATTGCCACAGGAAAAGAGCTGCCATTCGCTCGACAATTTCACAAGCACATGGAACGCAGAGGCACCCCCAAAACCTCCAATCATCAAAGCGAATTCAGTAGGAAAACTTCTGCAATACAAAAAGTTGAAACCGCAGAGTCGCACTGTTTGATCATAAGCAACGGGCAAGTTGTAAGAAGGCATGCATTGCTCCAACCTAAACAACCTCAACCCTCGACGTGGACAGGAAAGGCTCTCCTTTTTACCGGGTTGCGCTGGTGTCCCGAGCTGACGAGAGCGGTGCAGGGTGCACTGCGGCGCACGGTTTCAGCTACGAGAAGACTGAATTAACCCCCCTGTGAAACAACCATGAACCACGCTGGAATCACGTCCTGGATCATTCTTCGCACAGCGGTGCATCACGCAGGTCCGCTGTTCCAGCATCGAAAGGCAGCCGAAAAAAGACTAAGAGGAAACCCGCAACAAACAAAACAAACAAATAAAACAGAACACCAAAACAACAGCACAACCAGAGGAGAACAGAAAACAACAATTCCTCCGAAAGACGCCTCCAAAAATCAAACACGACTGGGAGACGGATGCCTCAACCAGGAAGCAGCAAATCTCGCAGCATTTGCAGCCTGCATTGAAAATACCATATCAGCAATCTGAATCATCCTTCCTTCGGCTTCCCACGCCTCAGTTTTCGGATTGTTGCAGTTGTCCTACGCTGGCGGTTCAGGATTCGGATTGTCTGTCGGTCAGTGGCAGGCTCTTGCGCAGTTGTCTGTCACAGGGTCTGTTGCAGCTGTGTGGCACAGGCGTTGTCGGCGGGCTGTTTTGTGGCGTTTGGATCTGACAAATTAAATATCGGGTGAGGGAGCCAAGGGACGACGTGCGTGTGCATGTGTTGCAGCATGTGTCTGAAGCTTTGGAAAGAGCATGCAGGCGATTTGGGTGGGAAACGCATAGAGTTTTGTTTTTTTTGCTTCTGCAAGAAACAACCCTGTTCATTAACATGTGCACGTACACTTTCTCAGCTACACGAAGCCCAGCGCTCCATACCGGGCTGGGGCCTTTCTCAATGAAACGTATGTTATATTCCCCGTTTTGGTGGAGCAACGCAGACAAGATGTTTTGTACCGGCAAATACCGTTTTTTTTGTTTACTCAGAACACATGGCTGAGAGCTTCACAAAAACAGCAGCTGAAATTAGAAGTTGTGAGCTTTGGGTTCGAATGCAAGTGAAGTGCCATGGGCAGCAGTGCCTCGCGCATCATCGAGCGCCGAGATGCGTTCCCTGAGGAGGGTGCAGCAGAGCAGGCGGCCACTGCGGATCTGAGTTTGGACTCACTGGAGGCGGCGCGCTCGGTGGTCGACAAGTTCTTGGTGGAGGCGTTGCTGGACTCGGCGTTGCGTGGGCTTTACGTGGACTGCGGCTCGGTTGGCTCGGTGCAGCGCTTGAAGCGGCGCCTGGTGGAAGCCGTGCTGTGCGCGGCTCGTGGAGGTGTGGACTTTGGGGTTCCGAAGCCGGCGCTGCGGCTGCAGCAGCAGATCCACGACGACGGAGACGTGTCCAAGGAACTGCGGGCGTGCCTCAAGGCCGCCGTGGAGGAGCACCTGGTTGTGAACGGGGCCACCACCATCACCAGTTTCTTGGAAAGCCCCAAGGAGGCCCAGAAAGCAGCCAAGATTTTGAGGGAGTGGGAGGCGGCAGACAAGGCTCTGCTGCTCCGGTGCTTGCCCACCGATGCAGAGCTCACCAGTCCTGAGAAATTGGAGAAAGATATGGCGAGGAGGGAAGATGAGAGGCAAACACAAGTGGGGCCTTTAAAGCTGACTCCTTTGTCGGTTCCCTTGTACCGACGCAGACAAACTTTTTCTTGCTTGATTTTTGCCCTCCTCCTTCCTGGCTCGATTCTGATCAACTGCATATTCTTGTGGTATTGGAAGTACACTTGGTACTTCCTGGTTCCGTATTATGTGTACGTGGCAATGGACCGCAAGCCTTGGACAGGAGGCCAGCAAGTCCTGGACAGTTGGCGCAGGTTTAGCTTGTGGAAGCAGTGTGCTGGATACTTCCCAGTCACTCTAATAAGAGCGAACCTGAACAAAGAGTGCTTCACCCCAGACAAGCCATACCTGTTTGGGTACCACCCCCACGGTGTTCTGGCCACCGGAGCTGCTTTGGCCTTCGGCAGTGAGGCCTGTGGGTGGTCGGAGCGGTTTCCAGGCCTGACGCCGCGCCTGTGCACGTTGAACCTCACGGTGAGCATCCCCATCTTCCGCGAGCTGATCGCGCCGATGGGCGTGATCCCGGCCTCTGAGAGGGCGGTGGCGGCGGCGCTGCGCCCGGGGAACGCCGTGGTTCTGGTGGTGGGAGGCGCCGCGGAGGCCTTGGACGCCTCTTGCGGGAAGTACGTTCTGACGCTGCGCCGGCGCCGGGGCTTCTTCCGGTTGGCGCTGCAGCGCGGCGCCACTTTGGTGCCCACCTTCGGCTTTGGCGAGAACGACATCTTCGACTTTGTGCAGCTCACCTCGAGGCAGCGCCAGCTGCAGGACGCCTTTAAGAACATCACTGGCTTCACCATGCCCCTCTTCCATGGCCGTGGGGTGTTCTCCTACAACTACGGCCTCCTGGCAAAGAACACTGAAACAGCAAACAGCACACAAAACCAGCAACAGCAACAAGCGAGAAGTGGTGTCGAGAGATGTTCATAGTCGTTGGCCTCAGAGCAGCTTGAGCTCTACCCTGCCAGGCATGCTGCCCCACAGGCGCCCAGTGACCGTGGTGGTCGGGGAGCCAATTGACATCAAGGAGAACCCAAACCCTACAAAGGAAGACATTGACCGTCTCCGTGAAAATTACATCAATTCCTTGAGCCTTGGCTCTCGTTGAAGCGCTTCTGTTGTGTGCGCGCATTCAGTGATATTCAGTGATGCACTCTTGATGATTGGACCGGTGATACGATATGCAGACGGTATGCACACTTTAAAGACTTTGCACGATTGCTTGGCTGAGGACTGCATTGTTTGAGGAGTACAAGCCACGATTGGCCGAAAAGAATGCAGAGCTCATCATCATTTGAGCAACTGCAGTCGCTGGTAGCTTGTCAGGTTTCAGTGCCGATTTGTACAGCCAGGGTTGTAGGCCCTTTCTCGATTCATCGACCGCGCCAAACACGCATCTGCTAAGCCAGTTGCAGGAACAACACCAGGGTTGCCTCGTTTTGTTTGGAACTGGCTTCTTTAGGAAGCCGTAAGGCTTGTCGAAGGCAAGTTTTTGAGCCGCACAGCAACCATTTCTTTCTGGCCCCCACAAGCTTGAGTTTCCTGGAGTTGTGCTCTTGCCATTCGGGTTCCAGCGACGGTGCGTTCGTGTTCCTTGCGGACTACTAGACAGTGCTCGGCACCCAGTGGGGGGAGATGTGGTGTGTCATGGTGTGTCGTTAGAGGCAAGCAAAAAGGACTGAACATTTTGTTGATGCCATTGCTTTGCCTCATGGGGCCTTTGTCGCTTTGTTTACCGTTGCCCCGTGACCAGGCCATGGCTCGCAGTCTGCTGCGCCTGCCCCGCGCACTCAGCGCCCTCGGAGCACGGCAGCTCCATGTGTCCGCACCCAGGCCCGGAAGGGTTGGAGGGCAGGGCGCGCCTGCGACGCCGGCCCCAGGCCAGCAGCAAAAGTGAGCCCGGCCGAGCTCACCAAGATCCTGAGCGAGCGAATCGCCAACTTCAAGGCGCTGGCGGTGTGTAGATTAGACAGAAGGAACGAATGTGGCTGCGGTCGGACAGTTCGGACAGCCATCGCCTTCCTTTTGCAGGAGCAGGCGGACGTGCAGGAGGTGGGCCGTGTGCTCTCCGTGGGCGACGGCATCGCCCGTATCTACGGCCTGAAGGGTGTGAAGGCTAGGTTCCAAACATGGCATGACATTTGTCAGAACTTTCAGCATGGCGCTATGGATTGTCCCAACCCAAACGTTTGGCAGGCATCGGCATCATACCTTGTGTTTGCTGGGCATGTTCGATTTTAGCAGAGTCTTAACAGATACACATCGGTTGGAGGTTAGAATTTGCTTGTTGCCAGAGGTTTCTTCGCACAGCTGGATTCTGCTAGCTGTTCATTTGGCAGCCGGTCCCATTTCTCGCAGTTTGGCTTGCGTAGCTATGTTTGATGCCACAAAGCTGGGACCTGGGATGTTCTGCATGAGTCCTCCAGCGAGGCTGGAGAGATGGTGGAGTTCTCCAGCGGCCTCAAAGGCATGGCTCTCAACTTGGTGCCTCGGTGCAGGGGCAAGTCGGGGGCGTTTTCTTTGCCGGAAGCATGATCTGAAGCGAGCAGTCTGATTGAGCCGGTGCTGAGAAACAAGTGCACGTCATTTCGAACAGCTCACATGAATAGCTGGCATACGCTTTCAAGCGCAACATTGACTTGTGATTGAGGGTGCAAGTTGCATTGCCTCAGGAGACAGACAACGTGGGTGTCGTCGTTTTTGGAGATGACCGTGCCATCGTGGAAGGCACTTCAATGCTGCTTAAGCATGTTTTATGACTGACTGCCTGGGCACTGTACAGCATTGAATCACATGGCAGCTGAAGTGACCCAGGGTTGTTTGGACAACGGTCCGCTTGACCTGCAACTCTTTGCAAAGCATTGTGTGCTTGCGCTTGCCAGTTGGACTGTGTGAGCAAACGACACCCCATGCACGCTGCAACAGGCGACAGTGTGAAGTGCACGGGAACGATTGTCGATGTGCCGATTGGTGAGGAACTGCCAGAGCCCCAGTGCCTCCCAAGATTTTGCAATGAAGTGTATTGGCAATCTGGCAATCTGAAACCGCCCAAGGCTAGGCCGTGTGGTGGACGCGCTGGGCACACCCATCGATGGTGCTGGACCCATCGCCACCAAGACCCGGCGCCGAGTCGAGCTGAAGGCGAGAGAGCGTGCTCCCGCATCAGTGAATCAGATATGTGACATGCGGCATTTGCATGCCTGCAGCCCCAGCTTGTCTATTTCTCAAGTGGGCAAGGAGCAGATTGGTAAGAGGATTTCCACAGAGTCGACTGCCCAGGCTCCTGGCATCATTCCTCGCCAGAGCGTCCACGAGCCCATGACCGGAATGCGCAACAGCTTTTTTGGCACCCCAACGTTTATATACTCGAGCACGCACTTTGCGTTTTTGAGTACCAAGAAGGAGGGAAGGTACTGACCATATTTCTCTCCATTGCTGTGATGCCTGCAAGAATGACAATGGCCTTTGCCCATGCCGCTCGGGGAGTGTTGTGCTTGCGCGAGGACCACAGGTTTGAAGGCAGTGGACAGCCTGATTCCCATCGGCCGTGGCCAGCGCGAGCTGATCATCGGCGATCGTCAGACTGGCAAGACAGCCATTGCCATCGACACCATCTTGAATCAGAAGGACGGGCTGGGAGGGCAAGTTTGTTGCTGCCAGCTTGATTGCCCACTGACAGGCCATCAACAACTCCCCAGACAAGTCTGCCCACCTCTACTGCATCTACGTGGCGGTTGGCAGGGCACCTGGTTTTTGGGGGTTTGCCTTGGTAGGGCGCGTGGTTTTGGTGACTGATACCGCTTTGAGGCCAGAAACGCTCCACTGTGGCACAGCTGTTCGAGATCCTCCGCAAGAACGCCACTCATCTGGCAGAGGGATGGAATGACTTGTGGGCATTGATTTGACAGCTCGGCTGAGGATTGTTTGAAGTACACCACGGTGGTGGCCGCAACAGCCTCCGACGTGCCCAGATTCAAGTTAGGGTTCAGGCTTTGCACACACACACACACATTTTGCAGCTGAGGCGGCACCTCTGCAGTTCTTGGCCCCTTACACAGGCTGTGCCATGGCCGAGTACTTTCGGGACAACGGCAAGCATGCGGCGCCTTGCTGCAAAACAGAATATCAGATTGGTTGGATTTTCAAAACCGTTGCTGCTCTGACAAGCATGGCTTTTTGAGAGAAGCAAAACGAGACTTTCTGGGATGACATTGTCACGTGTGCTCACACCAAAACTCTAGCATCAGAGTCACAGTTGAAACCATTTTCCTTGGTTCTGGCACGTTTAAGCTCGCCAGAGTCAAGCTCAACATAGTTCATGTTATCGGACAAATGTTCAAGTTGTCTTTTTTTGGCCATATTCATTCTCTTTGAGCTCTGTGCGGCAACTAATGTTGAACATACAACTCTGCTGGGAAGTTGGCCTATGAGCACTGTGGCTTGCCATGCCAGGCCTGCAACAAATGCGCCAACTGCAGAATTTAGTGGCAGTGCCAGGGCATTCAGCCCTTGCCAAAACATCACTTGTCGGAGGGTCAGCCATTTAGGGTTACCCCCTCCATTTTGTCACATAGAAACAGTGTCCCCCTGCCTGGGAGGGGTTGTTGGCGCAGACACTGCTAATGTGTAGCAAGTATGCAGCGGCAATTGTCTTGCGCGCAGCCTGCCGGATAAGCAGCGATGGGCTGCAGCAATGGGCGGGTAGAACAAAGGATGAGCAGCATTGTACTCCCCCGACTGATCTCGCAGCGCATGAACTTGGAAGCTTCAGACATCTACTTGCAAGCACCTTGGGGGCCAACCAAGCAGTCATGACTGAAGCAAACTTGGTAGGAGGCCAGCAAAAAGGGGTCGCACTGTGGACAAGCACTCTCGCTGGCAGGGCAGTGAAGACAGCCGACATAGAAACAGGGGAAAGAAAAAAAAGAAGGTCAAAGCGTCATGATCAAGAGCCGCAAGGGCTCACTAGCATGTCGGCTCTGGACCTCTTCCCCCCCCCCACTCCCCAGCCATCCTCGAAAACATGTGCCAGTCGGGGAAAACACGCATGACATGTCGCACAGCTTTTCACGGGGAACCTCCCGTCCGGCAGGGCAACCGACTATGTAAGGGGTTGGCACAAGCCAGATTTATGTTGCAATACTTTCCCGTGTGGTTTGCAGCAAAGCTGCCCCACTCTCTGGAATTCCGTTTCGCCGTACATTGCATCACAACAACCCATCATAAGTCATGAAGGGTAACACTTTGTCATTTTGTGGTCATTTTGTGGGCATGGTAGCACAACACAGTTTGTGTGTAGAGGTCCTTATTCCTTGTGCATCGATTTGGCAAGGTCATTTTCTACGATGACCTCTCCAAGCAGGCTGTGGCTTATCGCAACTTGTCCAAGACAACGCATGGTCACATCTACAGCGGCTCGTTTGTTGGACGGCCTTTTTTCTCTCTCTTTCTTGAATTAGCAACTTTTCATTACCTGCTGTTGGTGCGTGCTTATTTTGTTGACCAACACATGCTCGGTGGCGCATTAAGGGGTGTGGAGTTTTGGCACCAGTCAACATGATAGCATCATTCGATTGGTCGATGATCAGCTTGCCGACACAAGGCCAGATGTCGCTTCTGCTGCGCCGGCCGCCAGGGCGTGAGGCCTACCCAGGCGTGGTAATACAAGCAACAGGACCGTTTTCGGGGAAGGGCTGAAGCAGCCCGGAAGGCAGCGGGATTGTGGATCGACTTGGCCAGCGCTTGGCAGTTGATGTTAGCGGCCAACGATATGATCAGATGGCAAAACTTGTTTCCAAGCATCGCGTGACTCACCTGTTCTCGGGGTCAAGTCGTGGCTTGCAGGTGATGTGTTCTACTTGCACTCGCGGCTGTTGGAACGTGCTGCCAAGATGAACGAGGCCGGCTTTGGGAAGAGCCCGGCGTCTCATTTGGGTGGGGAGTTCGCCGCCCTTCTGTGACGTGCAAGTTGCTCCTGCCTGGTTTGGCAGCGTGGGGAACGACTGGTGCGACCGACGCGCAAGGCAACCCAGGGTGGCGGCTCCCTCACCGCCTTGCCAGTGATTGAGACCCAGGCGGGCGACGTGAGTGCTTACATCCCCACCAACGTCGCTTGGCTGAACGGAAGAAAACCAGGCACCTTTTTATGGTTGGCCATTGGCTTTGGTGTACAACTCTTACAACTCTTAGCAGGGTTTGGGCTGAGGTCATCTCCATTACGGATGGTCAGATTTTCTTGGAGACCGAGCTTTTCTACAAGGCAGGGGCCGATGCTTACTGCAAATACGTTGGGCGGCAGGCGGCTGCTTTGCTGTCATTGCAAGCAAGCTCCTTGGTTCATCATTTTGCTTCTCGTGGGCAGGGCAAGATTTAAATATTTTGATTGAAGCTCCACACTCACACAGCTGCTTGGCGCCAGGGTATCCGCCCCGCTGTGAACGTGGGTCTGTCTGTGAGCCGCCACTCGACATCAAGATCACATGGCAGTGTTTGCAATATTCGCTTGGACGCGGGACTTCGGTTCGCAAGAACACCGAAGTGGAACTCCGTGCATGTGTGGAAGCCTAGGTGTCGGCAGTGCTGCGCAGATCAAGGCCATGAAGCAGGCCGGCGTTCGTGTGCGACAAAGGTCAGACCCTCTTCGAGACCAGCCCACTCCATAGTTTTGACTCTAGGGATGCAAGGTGGGAGATGGCATTGGCAGCCCGCGAGCGGTCGCTGGCAGGTGGCTGGCACCTTGAAGCTGGAGCTGGCGCAGTACCGTGAGGCAATGGGAGTGCGGGCGGAGCAAGGCTGAGCAAGGGACCTGTGATCGGGATGCGGAAAGGGAGGGCCGGATGCGGTTGGGGGAAGGGAGCATTGGCTACAAAGTTTCGTTGTCTTCCTGCAGACGCGTTTCCATTGTGGCAGGTAGCTGCCTTTGCGCAGTTCGGCTCCGATTTGGACGCCGCAACGCAGCACCAGCTGCTGCGAGGCGACGTGCAGCATGGCAGCTTGAAATGGTTATGCTCGATGTGCCAGGTGGCATCCTGACAGAGCTTCTGAAGCAGAAGCAGTACCTTGGCAGGAACAGCACGACTGCGCATCATTGTGATACAGGCAGCTTGATTCTGTCCTTGTTAAAGGTCCTTCGTGTTTTGCTTTCACGCCTCCATGCCAAGGTTCGTGCCTATGACCACGGCTGAGATCATCATCTCGCTTTGGGCAGGAACGCGCGGCTACCTTGACAAGGCGTCAACTGAATCATGCACATAACAGCTGCCAGGAAGGGATTCGCGCACAAGGTACGGTCTCTTTTGTTGCCTCACTTCAACTTCAGTCTCTTGAAACCATCCTCAAATTAATACATTCTGAAACAATGCACACATCTCGCAACCCAAAAAGATGCCAGATGCAGAATGCTCAAGCAAACACAAGCTGCAAAGTAGCCTGACGGTTATTGTTTTTGGAAAGTATGGTGGCGCAATGCTGTTGTTCGTGTCAGTAGCTGAGCGCTGTTTGCTATTGGTGTTTCTTACACTCCAAAACATTCAAGCTGCCATGACCTAAACTCCTGTTGAGCATTTCAGCAAGAATAATGACATCTGGGTTTACAGCATATTTTGGATGTGACACCGCATTTCTGACAGGTGGCCACGAAGGAGATCTTGCGCTTTGAGGCCCTGTGGCTGAAGCACTTCAAGGATACTCGTGCCGACGTCCTCAAGGCGCGGCGCATTTGGCCGCGCACGTGGCTTCACCCTGGGTGGTATGCAGTCTTAAATGGAGGTGACTGCTTACTACACTGTGGGGGTAACAATGACTGATTGAAAAGCTTTGCTTCGAGGCAGTTTGCTTGAAAAAGCGCGACAAGCCATGGGGCATGCTGCCAGCACTGGAAGCATGTCCGAGCCAGGAAATCATGGAGAAGAAGCAGATCACTCCAGAGATCGAGAATGGCATCAAGACATCCATGGAAGAGTCATTTGGCTTGATTGTTGACCTGCTCCTTCTTGCAAACATGCCTCCGGATAGAGATGAGAAACAGCCATGAAATGGCTGCAACATGGCACGTCCGACCCGCAGCGGCCATAACCTTTCGTTGAGAAGCTGGGTCTTCTCAAGATTTCACCCTCTCAGTCTCGGAATGCTTTGTGAATGCCTGGAGAATGCTTTGGTTCTGAATCTATTACTAAGCTTTTCAGCATTTCTTGTCGTGCAGAAGAGATCATATTCTGGCGGCATCCAGTTTCCTTGTGTAGTGTTGGGTGTTCTTTTGCCTGCTTTTGATCTCTAGTACTTGCCGAAGAATGCAGTCCTTGTGCTGGGTAGGTTCTTGAACATGAACGAGTTCGAGGGCCGCTCTTCGTAAAGGCGGGCTTGGATCTCCACAAGCTAGGCGTTTGCATCCCAACCGTTTCGACATGGTCTCATGGGCTATGCATGTCTGCCAGGATCTATAGGCGATGGCTCAGTGATTCGGTGATTAGTAGTTTTGAGATTGAATATTCAATTTCTCACTGCAGGAATATGCCACGCCATGAAGTCTATGAGTATGGGAAGGCAGCTTTAGATGTCTCACAAGCGTAGATCTGGGTTGACAATAGTTGGCATTTCTGTGCTAAACACAGGAAGGGCCACCGTGCTTTTTGTAGGAATTGCGTAAGAAGGTTGCATCATGGTCGGAGGATGACGCTTTGAATCAGAACTGACACAGAAGGAGGAATTTCAAGCAACAGGCGGAAGCTGCGGTGGCCATTCCGTGTGTGTGATTTATTCGTGCGGTGGCACTGGAAAAGCGAGGCGTTGCGAGTGCAAGAGGAGGAGCATTTGCAGTGAGCGTGGGATGATGAAAGCTGGCAGCAAGGTTTGAGTTCCTTTCTTTCGCCTCATTTCCTTCAAATCCATCACATGTTTTTGCTGGCGTGGGGACATGCCCCAGAAACTTACCAAGCTAGCTATGATGGGCTTTCACGAGGTGTGCCGGGAAATTCTGAGAGTTTCAAATACCTACCTGGATGGTGATTTTGTTTCAGGATAGAACGATCTCACCCAGCAATTTGTGCATGCCGCTTGTTCTTAAAGATCCTTTGTGTGCCAAGGCCGAGAAAAGATGGCAGGTGGTGCAGTAAAGTATCGCTGACATTGTGGATCCAGCGTTGGTGCATTTGTGCAGCTTGCAGACTAGAAGACAGTGCCAGGCTCCTAGCGTGGAGCGCGACAGGGGGAGTTGACAAGTATCATGCAGTGTCATAGCACAGCGTGTAGCACAGCCCTGTAGATGGGGTTGACAAGTTGAGCGATAAAGATGTTTTTGGGGGCTTTTGCTGAGAAAAGCGTTGACTGTGTCGATGCTTGGTGAGGCCATGGCTCGCAGTCTGCTGCGCCTGCCCCTCCATGTGTCCGCACCCAGGCCCGGGAGGGTGGGAGGGCAGGGCGCGCCTGCGACGCCGGCCCCAGGCATCAGCAAGAGTGAGCCCGGCCGAGCTCACCAAGATCCTGAGCGAGCGAATCCCCAACTTCAAGGCGCTGACGGTGTGTAGATTAGACAGAAGGAACGGGCAAGAAGGCGTTGCTATCGACATCTTGAATGAGAAGGACGGGCTGGGAGGGTAAGTTTGTTGCTTGCTGGGACTGGCTTGCAGTTTCATTGTTTGTTGAACACTGGCCATCAACAACTCGTCTGCACATCTCTACTGCACTTACATTGAAGCTGGTCCAGGTCGGCCGCTCTTTGGTTGAAGACCAGTCGGGGAGTTCGCATGGGATATGCTTTGGATTGGTTTTGGTTTGGTGTAGGAATGATTAAGGATTGGTTCAGAGTGTCGTGCGGATAAGCATACAATGGTCGGATACCGCGTGGCCATTTTTTTTATCGCTTCAGGAGACAGAAAGCGTGGGTGTCGTTGTCTCTGGAGATGACCGTGCCATCCTGGAAGGCACTTCAATGCTGCTTAAGCATTCTTCCATGAAGGCTTGAGCACTGCATGACATGGCAAGACATAGCAAAGCTGCACCAATCTAGGCCTCGGTAGCATGTGTCCACTCTTCTCGCAATTTCAGGTATTGCCCGCCTGCACTTGCCATTGGGACTCTGCGAGCACACGACGCCCCATGCACACTGCAACAGGCGACAGTGTGAAGTGCACGGGAACGATAGTCGAGGTGCCGATCGGTGAAGAACTGCCAGAGCCCCAGTGCTTCACAGAGCCTCCCAAGATTTTGCAATGAAGTCTATTGGCAACCTGGCAATCTGAAACCGCCCAAGGCCAGGCCGTGTGGTGGACGCGCTGGCCACCAAGACGCGGCGCCGAGTCGAGCTGAAGGCGGGAGAGCGTGATCACGCATCAGTGAATCAGACACGTGACATGCGGCATTCGCGTACTCAGGCTCAATTTGCAGCCGTCTGGCTTCAGATATTTAATATCACAATATTACGTTCCGTCGGGTACATGGCAAGAGCTCGCGTGCAACCGTTTGAAATGTGGCTCTTGCTTGCGCCTTTCCTGGTCAATGAAGTACTTTCATTCAAAGCTGTGGGCACTTCAGGTGCCCATGTTTCTTCTCTTCAGACGTCAGGTCTCCAGCTGAATGCCAGTGACATCACATCACAGGCATCAGAGGCGTCAGCCTCCTCAGCTGCTGAGAAGATCATGGAAGCTGTCGACAGCTGCTTGGGGCATCGCATGGTGGAGGCTGAGATGGATGATTGGAAGCTAGTGCGTCTCAACAAGGTGCGACGGGCGGAGATCATCACGCGCCTGGTGCGCGCCAACATCAGCGTGACAGAGTTCGGGAGCGAGTGGACGGATGATGTGGCCACCATCGAGGCGACCAAGTTTGCTGGCCGAGAGGCGGCAGAGGAGATCGCCCACAAGGAGTTCGAGCAGTCGATCTTGCAGACCTTGTCAGGTTCCAACTTGAGCCAGGACGCTGTCAAGGAGTTCGCGGAGAAGATGGAGGAGATGGCCAAGATGTGCGGGGATGGTGAGGGCCACGAGTTGGTGCAGGACGAGCTGAAGCTCCTGAAAGGCAACACGTCCCTGATGGAGTCCTCCATGGCCCACGAGCTTGCGGTCTACGTGGAGGAGCGGTGCCAGGCAGATGTGCTGGATGTGGACTTCTTCGTTGCCCGGTTGGGGGATGTGTCCGAGTGCAATGAGCTGATTGGTCTGTCCCTGATGGCCAAGGTTCGCAAGGAGGCCCAGAAGCTGGACTTCTACGCCAAGTCCACGCTGGTACTCCACACCGCGGGCCTGGGCAGCTCGGAGAGCGACGCAGGTCAGGTGGGGCACCACTTTGTGAAGCTCTTGAAGGGCACAGGAGATGCTGCAGATGACACCTTCAGGGCACTGCTGCGAAACGCCACCCGCACAAGTGCAGATCACTTGCCTACCATGAGCCGCTTGCGGCTCCTGGATCTCAAGCACTTCGAGCATGTTCATGGCTTCACGGTGGAGAAGTACTGCCAAGTGAACACCGATTCCAAGGCTGCACAGTGGGTCCTTGACAGCCGTGAAATCCAGAATTATGTGGACTGCCTATGCCGGCGTCAACAACCTTCCCTGTTGTGCGATGCACAGCATGCTGAAGAGTTGGAGACAATTCGGCCTGTGGTCATGAAGCGTTTGCACCATGCGAAGGAGTCCTTGACAGAGGCGGCGTTGCTGGAAGTCGCTGAGAGGATGAAGTCCTCCATGGGTGTCGGCCTGGGGCCTTGTGGGGGGGAGAAGGGCATTGGCCTGGAGTGCAGCTTCTGCGTTTCGGGCCAGTGCATGGGGCATGGTGGGCTCTCCTTGGACGCGTTCTCCGTCTTATCGACGCTGATCCACGGGCCAAGCTCGTGTGTGACAGGCGGTTGTTCGGCCTGTATGGGCGTCAAGCCGGCTGACCCGCTGATGTTCGTCTTGACCTTCGGCGTCTCCCAGTCCTGCAACAGCTTGGTCCCGGCCCCAGCTTCCCAGATTCCCAGAATCCCATCTTCCCAGCTTGGGTCTTGGGTGTTGGCTTTGTTGGGAAGGGGCATGCAGGGCTCAGGGCATGTCCTGGAACATGTCCTTGATTCGCTTGTCACGAAAGCGGCGTTGAGGCTGATACGTTCACAAGCTTCAACATCTTTGCATCTGTGGAGCTCTGCATTGGTGGAATTCTTGGCAGACTTGCAGATGCCATAGGCTGGGGCAGCTGTGCCAACCTGGCTACCATTGCGTACTATCCTTTCATCAACAAGATGCACATTGCGCTCTCCCTTCCGATTTTCATTCCTCCCCCGTTGGGGGTTTCGGCAGGGCTGGAGGCGGGGTCGGGTCAAAAAGTTCAAACATCAAGGTCTAAGCATCTTAAGTGTTTACACATGTCAACAGCCCTCACTGGTTATGGAATGTTTAAGCATTGTATTGTCTACATTTATGTCCAGCTTGAAGAAATTGCTTTTAAGCAATGCTGAAGCATTGTTGAAATGTTCCAACCTTGGCTTGGAGGCCTATTGTGAAATCGCACATTTGGTTTAGGCATTGTTGAGCGAAGTTTCGGGGCATGTTGTTTAAGCAAATTTTAGAGTTTGCTTACACTTTGCCTTGGAGGCCCGGTCACAGGCCACGTGGTATTCCACATTTTGCTTGGACTGGCTGCGGGTCAGTAGGATTCGGACAATTTCACATGAGTTTTGATCACAGCTTCCAGCTTCCAGCTTCCAGATTTGCTAAATCTCTCCCACACACACACACACACACTGAGACTCGCTTTTTTCCGCATGTTCTCTGCGGGAACTGCAGCTCACATGTTGTTGAAAGAAGGCAGCAGCGCCTTACCGAGGAGAGTTGAGTGTTGTTTGGGTACGTTGGCTCAAACTCCTCTTGCGTTCACGCAAAGTAGTGTGCTTAGACAAACTCTTGTGCACCGTTGGAAAGCACAAGCCATTGTTTCAGCTTGTGTTGGCGCAATCTAGCTGAGCACAACCCCGCGCAATTTTGTCTCTCAATGACATTTGTGCATTTCTGTTGGCAGTCGCTTCTGTACGCATGTTTACATGCAATTTCATTGCAGCTCGAGCAGAGGGACATTCGCATGGGTGAAAACTTTGAGCGCGTGCAGCCATGAGAGCGTGACTCAGATCCAGACTCCACTACGCTAGAACCACGCCGCCGTTTGAGTTCAAGCTGGTTGCTGCGACACCATGTTCTTCGACGCGGACCTTTACGAGCGCTGGTGCGCTTGATGGCGGCGATCCGGGTGAAACCAGAGGCGCGCCTGGCGGCGAGGAAGAGACGCGCGACGATGGGGCCAAGTCAGATGGGGGAGCAACCAGTCCAAGCCAGACACGACCAGCAACGATTAGGGCAAGTGCCCACGCCCTTGTCTTTTGATGGAGAAACGGCGAACGGCTCAAGGCCGAAGCCAACGTCAGCGCTATGACGACCGCAAAGCATCGAGTGCTCTTTCAGGGCCGGAGTCCTTCGGCGAGTCTTCAGGCAGGGCGGCGCAGTTGCATCTGTTTGAGAGAACGCTTCTCGAAGAGGCCCGTGTAATCAAACTACTTTATAGACTACGCTTGATGAACGTGCTGCTTCGTCGCTGCCGCTGGCTGCGGGGCATCGCTGCGTCGTGAAGGATGTGTTGGACGCGATTCGCGTCCAGCACCTTCCGGTCACGGTGAAGAGGCAACCTCGATCTGGAAAGGGCGGCCGCTGGAAGACATTGTTCGCGTCCGGCGACGATGAGGATGATGAGCGGTGGCCTATGATGCGGACGGCGCCTACCCGGCGGACCTGCGGATGGATGACTTTGTGTACGACAAGGAGGACCGCCTGCAAGATGTGCTTTGCAGGCTCTCGCAGCGACGAGCAGTCTGCGCACGTGGTTTCTACTGGCGCCGGCAAGGACGGCGAGAGCAAGGGTGGCAAGGGCAAGGCAAAGGCGAGGCGCCGCGCGACCTTGCGGGCGCAGTAGGGCCAGCAGCAAACCAACCTGAACACGTACTCCGCTCAGGTGGACTATAGGGCTCAGCCTGGGTTGCGCGGAGAGCCTTGCCCGTTGTGTTTGCTTGTGGTCCATCTCTTCCACGTTGAGGCAGACGAGAGAGCTGCTAGGCCTCCGGTCGTGCCAGAGACAAGTCGCAGGGCGGAAACGGAGGGTGAACTGCATTGATGAGACTTGCTTCTCCTTCAACCTGCCGGCGGAGCCACACCTACGTGGTTTGTCCAAAGTGGGGCAGCCGTGGCTGACATCTTGAAGCAAGATGAGACAGCCCAGAAGAAAAGCTGGCGGAGTATGAGATGCAATGGCTGGGCTGGTGATCTGATAAAGGTCAACACGGTGTTGAAGTTTGTCAGGGCCACGGCGTCCGCCTACTTCCGTATCACCCCCATCAAGCTGGAGGGCGCTGTCTTCATGGCCTTTGGGGAGTCTGGGCAAAATGCCAGCGCAGTTTTGCTGGCCAAGCTCAAAGAACCACAGGCATCAGCGTGGGCAACTTCATGGCTTGCGAGATGGTCAACCCTGATTGCCGCGCTTGCCTGGTTTCAAGGTGTTAAAACCCTCCTGGCCCCGTGCCTAAATTGGGAAGCCGTTCTGAGGTCCATGTTCTTGTTGATTGAAGTGTTCCATTGGACGCCACGTTTGGTTCTTGGCTCAAGTTACAAGTAGGGCTCAAGGTCTTGCATGAACAACGTTTGCCTGTGATCGATCCGTGTGAGAGAAAACAGGTTCAATCGCGCTGCTGATATCGGACGTGTGTGAGGTTACTGGACAATACCCCCTTACAACAGTTTGCACTGGTTTGGCTGTAACGGTTTGGGCCGTATACCCTTTCTACGTGGTTGAGTACATTCAGCTTGAGGCTCGGTGTACAGCGTCCCGTCACCTTGCCATCTCTTGACAGGTTATCAGCCGTATCGCAAGCTCTACACTGGACGGAGAGACAGCTGGTTCATTGCGGGTACAGAAACTACAGAAGTACAATAACCCACACAGTACAATGGCATCTTCAGCGAGCCCAAGTACTGCAACTTTTGGGAACGACAGTTCGGAGGGATCCAATGGATTGATGGCTCTTCCTGCGGTAATGGATATGGTCGCAGATTCGCAGGATGAACCTGGGAGCGGTGGATCCGCACTATTCAGCGACGTATCTACGCCAGCGAGATCATGGAATCAAGTCGCTATACATCAGGAGTCGAAGCAGAGAGATTCTCCGCCGAGAAGATCGTCATCTTCGCCAGCGACCCTGCGGGCGTCGCAGAAGAGCGTGAGGTCAGCATCAAAAGGTGGGAGATCCAAATCACCCACTAGTGCCGATTTTCGCGCTGCAATCAAAGAAAAGAACAAG